AGCAGGGCTCGGGTCCGACCACCACTCGATGCCGACCACGTGCGACGGAGCACGAATCTACTTTAATCGACACATTTGGAAAGAACAATTAAACAATCTCAACACGGCCAAACCAGAAGCAGGTCGATTGACCTAGCACGGTTCAAACATGAGATGGAGTAAAAGGCCAAAAACGACAGCGGGTGTAAAACCATTGGTTGTGGCCAACGGGTTAGAAACCTATAAAAATGAAAGCAACAAAATTCCATCAGAGTTAGAGCCATAAGCCAATAAGTGATTGGTAAGAGGGTTAATTGATAATTCCAAAGAAAAGAAATACAAGCAACGTAGTGACAAAGCACATAAAAGTCAACCGTAAAACGACTCGCTCAAGCTACCCTATTACTCGTCGTCGTCATCATCCATGTCGTCAGGAGCGTCATGCTCGGCCCTAAAACACTCCGGGAGGAAGGAAAAGTCAATGTCAGGGTGTTGAGTAGAAACCTGGTGAAGAGACCAGGAAACACCGCACTCCATGGCAGAGTTTTGCAAGTCGACGTTCTCCTGAGTTTTCTTGAATTCTCCGGCCAAGAATTCAGAATTAGAGAGTCGAGTGTTGGCCTCGTCAAGTCTCCTCTGCAGGTTAGCTAGCTTGTCTCGAGATTTTCTCTTCTCCGTTTCCAACTCACGTTGGGTACCCTCCAGAAGGCTGTTGGCTTGGTCGAAGGAAGAAATGGCATGTTCCAGCTCTTCCTGAGGGGCATAATGACAACGGAGATAGTTAATTTCATCAGCAACCCGACCCGAGAATACCACCAGACGGTTGAAAATCTGCCAAGGATAAAATTCGACGTTAGGAGAGGATGCTATGACAAATACTTGAAGTTAAAAAGCACTCACATGGTGGAGATCACTAAGGCATGTGCTGATACTGTGCTGAGGATTTGACAGGCCAAAATCCGACCCGCTTGATGAGTCGCCGAGGCCCTGCCAAAGACTAAATGTTCTTTCCAGGTAAGTTGTCTCGTCAGCATCAGCATTATATGGGCCAGAGAAAGGGAAGATTGAGGCTTGAGAGGAGCTCCCTGGTTGACCTCGAGGGGAGGACGGGATAGATGTCCCATGAAGTCGGGCGGAACGCCTCGGAGTTGTCGGAGGCATGGAAGATCGAGCATGTTGTGAAGGGGGCCCCTC